GGAGGGGGTGGGGGGCTTTGCTGTGTACTGCCATGGGGGGTGTGTTCAGGTGTTGCCTTATCACGCCAGAGCACCCAGATGAGGCCCTGTGAAAGGAGACAATTAGCTGGAAATGGGCAATTTATTGACTGTCCCACAGACAGGAACCATTTGTCAACGGTTCCAGTGGCATTTCCCTGGCTCAGTGTGTGGGAGTACAAGGGGGGGGGGGGTGACTTCTGCGTTATGGAACCTCTCTTCCCCCATATGTGACCAACAGCAGCTGTTTGGTGGGGGTGGGGGTTAGGGCATTGATTAGGAATATACTGTGTCCCATTTCCCAGCAGCTCTCCGGTCTCAGAGGTGGCCCCCCAGTCCGCTTTTGCCGCTTTTAACAGGCAGGATGTGGAAAGCAAGCCCCCCCAAGCCCCCCCACCTGTAAGCCCACACCGCCGGAGGGCACCTCGCCGGGATCCGGCCGGGGGGCTTTAACACTTCACCAGGAGGTGACCCTCATCCTTCAGGACGTCTCTGCGCACGGCGCTGCTGAGGGGTGACACTGGCTCCGCCCCACAGTCTCTAATCGAACATCAGACGCAGAGCGGGGTGGTTTGTCACTGTCACACTAGCGGTTGGTCCTCTGTGGTACAGCTCCCCCCCACCCCGGTTTAACAACAAGCCGTCTCCTTCTCACTGGATCGTAGGCGCCGACGTCGGCGAGGGGGGGGGCACCTATGCTGAAGCTGCCATCATGTTAGACATGGAATGGCAGTACAGGCTGCACCTCAAACCCAGACCGGGGGGGATGTAGTCAGCCCTGACTGATTAAGTCTTTGGGAAAGTCATGGACATTCTACATGTCTGTCTAAGCCTGTGTATTTGTCTGTAAATTTGTCTCTTTGCGTGTCTGTAAGTCTGTCTTATGGAATTTTTTGTCTGTCTTTCTAGCTGTGGACTAGGCATGGCAGCCCCACACGGGATCATCACGGCCCCACACGGGGTCACCACGGCCCAACACGGGGTCATCACGGCAGGTACGTACCTCCTGCCACCTCGCCTAGGGCTCACTTACCTCCCCACTTCCTGTTCTTCACTAAATGTTTCCCCAGAGTTAACTGAAACACAAACTTTTCCCAGCACTTGGTAACCAAAACTCAATCAACACACGTGACTTTCAGATGCCCTTTCAAGGTCACAACAGAGGCTTCCTTCTCAATAGCGTATGTTAAATCGAAATAAATGTGTGTTTCATCCCAACCTCAGTAATTTGTCTGTCTGCTCCGTACCATTCACAAAAACAATCAATTTCACAAAATGTGCTTCATTTTCATTCTCATCTCGTGCTGAATTCACAAACGGTTTTATGGGTGAACAGTGAAAACACAGTTTTCTAAAGAGGATTAGAAAAATTATTTTAAAAAGATTTTGATAGAGACAGTAATCTGGTATTAATTAGGTTCTTTTTTGAGAACAAAATCTGACACTGACTTTAATGGTTTTTTTGGACCATGGACGATGCAGAACCAGGAAGGGAAGCTTCTTGCAAATGGCAGAAGGGTCCGAAGACAGATCAGCACAGTTCTAGGACAAACAGGACATAAAACAAAATGGCTCTTCAGTGAAGGACAGAAGATAAAAATAACTCTGCGAGAAAATGTTATTTATTTATTTGCTTTGCTCAAGGGTGCGGGGACTGTTTGTGAGAACATGAACATTTTTGCAGAAATGCTGATTGAAATTCTTGGCTTTTTTTTTTATTAAACTGAACTTTTTTTCCAAGCACTGGCATGAAAGGAAGAGACTCTTGACAAAGAATTTATTATATGAAAAATTTCCTGTGAAAATTTTGTGACACAATCCCTTCCATCTTAGCAATTAACAGCATCGATTGCGCCTCCTGATTCCTGATTGATTTTGCAACGTGGCTGACCTCTGTAGTGCAGCAGTTGCCATTTTTCATCCTATAAATGTCCATAGTGTTGCATTCCAATCGTCACACATTCTGACGTCTGTCTAGATGCCTGGTGCAATCGGAACAGTACCTTCATCTTCTCTAAAGCAAGATGGATTCACTCGCCCCTCAGCCAAACGAATAAAGCAGCCTGCAGAGGGAATCTATCTCACTGCACAGGAATGAAACATAAATGCGGTAACTTGAGCCGACGTGGAAATGATGAGTTATCCTCACACGGATTTAAACACCTGTGGCAACTTACACACAGTACCAGTCAAAATTCTGGACAGACCAACTGAAAATCATCTGTTTTTCAACGAGATCATGAGGACACCTCAAGGTTATGTAGCATAAATCTGGTGAAGGGAAGAGATGGAGTGTGACAGATCACCTGCCCCCCACAATCCCCTACCTTAAACCTTACAGATCTGGTTTGAGATGAGCTGGACTGAAAAGTAAGAGCAAGGTAGCCAACTTGTGCCAGAACTTGTGGAAACTCCTTCAGGAATATTGGAGAAGCATTCTGGGTGGCTACATTTGGAAGCTAGCTGAAAGAATGCCAAGAGTCTGCATTGCTGTCATCGAGGTAAAAAGTGGCTGTATTGAAGAGTTTAAGATTTGAGAAAATCTTTTAAATCCAAAGGAGATGGTCCCCCCTTTGCACCTGTAACAGTTGCCACTCTTCTGGGAAGCCTTTCCACAAGATTCTGGAGTGTGTCTGTAGGAAATTTCGCCCACTCATCGAAAACGGCATTTGAGTGGTCAGGCACCAATGTTGTACGTGAAGGCCTAACTCTCAATCTCCATTCTTGTTCATCCCAAAGATGTTTGACTGGATTGAGGTCAGAGCTTTACATAGGCCAGTCAAGTTCTTCCACGCCAAACTTACCCAGCCACCTTTTTTGTACACTAGAGAAAAATCATGCTGGAACAGAAAAGTTCCTTCCCCAAACTGTTCCTACAAAGTTGAAAATATAGAATTGTCCAAAATGTCTTGGTACACTGAAGCATTAAGAGATCCTTTCACTGAAAAAACCCACACCATTTTCCCTCCTCCACCAAACTTTACAATTGGCCAATGCAGTCAGGCAGGTAATGTTTTCCTGGCATCTGCCAAACCCAGATCCATCCATGAGACTGCCAGACATAGAAGCGTGACTTGTCACTTCACAGAAGACGTTTCCACTGCACCAGAAGTGCTTTACACCACTCCATCCAATGCTTGGTGATGTGAGACTTGCAGCAACTGCTTGGCCATTGAAGCCCATTCCATGAAGCTCCCAGCACACAGGGTTTGTACTCTGGTTAATGCCAGAAGAAGTTTGGAACTCTGCAGTTATTGAGTCAACAGAGTCTTGGCTTTTACACACTATACGCCTCTGCTCTGGTACTATGCATGGCCTGCCACTTAGTGGCTGACTTTCTGCTGTTCCTAAACCCATCCATCCATCCATCCTTCAATCATCCATCCATCATTTGTCCTCTATCATTCCCCATTTGTCCATCCCTGCATCCACCCTTCCACCCATCTTCAAACCACAGTAAGCTGACATACCCGAACCATAAGAACACCAGCTTCCTTTTCCACACTGGTGTTGTAATTCCCACTGGCGCCAGTGCTGTCCAGCATGGCTGTTCCTGGGCTGGGTCAGTACAGGGCTGAGGACAGGGTCAGCGTGTCAGACGGCGATGCTGCATCAGGCCCACAGGCTGCGGCCGCGCATGTCATCCAGCACCAACGGCAGGACAGACCGGAGCAATCGCACGGCCCAGACTGGCACGAAGGCCGGTGTCCCCCTCAGGGGACACTTACAGCACTGCTATCCCCCCAGAAGGAAATTGGTGTGACACCTCCTGGTGTGAGCTCAGTGCTTCAGGTGCTAATCCTCCACAAGCCCCCCCCCCACAGCTAACAGCTCAATCATTCACATCTCCAAAGGCTGCCGGTGGGACACCGAGTTGGAGCCAGGTCACGTCGGCGGGGGCCACATCTATGGCGTACACATACGCACACGTGCACGCAGAAGCACAGACAAAGCACATTAATATTTCATGTGGCCAGGAAAGAGGACAGGCGGGGGGGGGGGGGTTTATGTGGCTGGCTGGGTCCCAAATCAATAGCAGGAAGTATTAATTATTTAATCTCTTCCTGGCCAGACCTGCGAAAGTGCAGACTCCGATATGCAACTGGTAGTGTTCAGTCCCTCACATCGATCTGAGACCCTCCCCCCAGTCCCTGTTTTGCTGTCCGACACACCCCTCACCGCACCATTTAATAACAATAATAATAATACCACCCCCCCCACAGAAAGCATTCAGCAATATGCAGTAAAGTCAGCCATGAAGAATACACACCATGTTATCTAATGCAGTCCCTCCTACACTCCTGCGGTTTGTTACAGAGAGCTAGCAGGCTACGCTACGACCTGCCGATATATAATTCCAAATTCCTAATATAATTCATGAAAACAGTAAAGCTTCACCAGCTTGAACATGCACTGATAAATCACCACTGAGATATATTTATTAATCACTGCCACTTTAAACCTCATCACCTCCTACTTGCATGTCACTGCATATTGTATTGGTGAATAATAAAGATTCTGATTCTGATATGTAGCATATACAGATATCTGTTAGTGGTGTGTGGCTCAGTGGGGTTAGAATGCTGTGCTGTCATCAGAAGGTTGCTGGTTCAAATCTCAGAGTGATTTCACCACTGAGCCTGTGAGTAAGGCCTTTACTGCTGCAGGGACTGTCTGACCTTGTCTCACTTTGGGGAAAAAAAGCATCTGTTAAACAATTAAATTGCATTTCATATAATTTTCCTCACTATTCTGTTATATGTTATTACCTTGTTGTTATATGTATGCAGGGAGGTACACAAGCAATTCAATGTACTTCCAGTTGTACAAATGACAATAAAGCTTTTCAATGTGTCTCAAAACAAGCACAAGGCACAGACGGCGACTCGTCCTCTTTGTTCGTATGTTTTTTTGGGGGGGGGACATGGATAAGGACATAAATAAATGTATGATTATGACACGAGACCCGGCACACTACAAATCACAGCACATGTTGTACAGTCTGATGTAGGAGAATAATTACTGAGTGCAGACGGATACTGGCATGGCAGTGCCGTTTGCAGACGTGGCTGATGCAGTCGCAGGCGAGGATGCGGGTTTGTGCCGGCCCTCCTGCATCCACCATGTGGCGTTGCAGCAGAACCGTGCTGGAAGTCATGCTTGATGTGCATGATGCTCACGAGTCTCTCTGGCAGCTACTGCGCCTTGTGCACGTTTGGCTTCTCAGTCTCCGCTGACACAGAAACGCCAAAAATCCTGCTCCGGTTCTGACCCGTTCCAGCCCCAGCAAGTCTGACTCAACATTTCTTTCTCTTCTACTTTTTTTCCATTTCGGAAGCGATCACCTTCCAGGTGTGGTGTGTGGTCCGGCGGGTTAGGCATCCGCAGCTGTGGTCAGAAGGTCGCTGCTTTGAATCGTGACTCTTGAGCAAGGTTCTTGGAGCCCTGAAACGCTGTGGGGATGGCAGACAAATGGCTGAGCCTGTGCTTGGGCCGCAAGCTTCACTCTAGACCAGGGGTGTCAAACTGCAGACCTGGGGGGCCGGAGCCCTACACACGTTTGGGTTTCCTGTCATTTAACACACCTGATTCACCTCCTGGTGCTAATTACCACACAGCTCTTGAGCTGAATCTCAAAACGATCTTGCATAGATGTCTTGCTGATTAGCAAACGACTTGAAAACTTGGATTGTTTAGATGTAACTTGCGTATGTCGGGCAGACGTGTGTTTGCTGTCAGGAGTGGAAAAGCCTAATAGAAGCATTGTTATGTCTTGGATGATGGGTGCCGAAATCTCCACCACACACTGTGTGACTTTTGATGGGTAATTCTAGGGCTCAGCCCTGCCTCAGCTCAACATGAGCTACACAGGGCTGAGGGTATCATTTATAAGGCTGCATGGTGCTCACCGTGAGGGGGCGCTGCGAGGAAAGGCAGGAAGTGACGGGGGGGGGGGTGGAATGGCCACCCAAATTCAGTTTAAAGGTTACTGGTCCCAGAGCCTGGGGGGTGTCTCGGTCTGTGAAGGAAAAGCAGAGCCTTGAGTGGAAAATGAACTTCATGTGGAAAAAGGCAATGGTGCCCCATGGCTCCATGGGGGGGGGGGACGACTCATCTAGGGGTGTCCGAGCAGGACTCCCGTCAGCGGGACACAGGCTGCTCTGACACTCCCACCCCCGATAGGATGGGTGGGGCTCGCTGTCACACCACATGGGAAAGTGCGGTTTAAGAAAACATCCGTAACGAGCCAACAGCAGCCGCCTCTAATAGCCATATAAAGCGCAGAAATTAAAAGTGTATAAATTAAACCTTGGAATTAATCTCACACTAGTTAAAATACTTCTGAATCTGGGTCAGCCCATTATAGCACTGATGTGATGATTATGTATTTTTCTTCACTATGCTCATTTCTCTTTAATATTTGTTCATCTTGAGCACTTATTTATCATTACTACGGCATTTTCCATAAGCCAAAAATAAATGCTTATCAGATTATTGTTCTCCTTCTTGCAGCATCTGCAAATTGGTTTGATTCTCACCCTTATGACCACCTCCATATGAAGGGAATAATTCTACCAACGTAATAAATACAGCACATGTGAAGGTCTGGGACAGTAAGCCAACGTTCGCTGCTCGCAGTCCACATGTTGCATGCAGAAGAAACGGGAAGAGATAAAGATCTAATGCCGTTTTCACACACTGTCCGAAGAATCAGGTCGGGACATTTTCAGGAGTCGCTTATTCATACTTAAGGCACAGAACTGGACACTGTCCATGTCAGACATGTTCACACCTATTAGAAATACCCCGGTTGGTTTAGGTGAGGGGTGGTGTTTGGGTTCAGCATGCAGGGGGCAGAACACAACGCAAAGAAACCGTAGTGTTCTGTTTACAGCACTACTGAGAGAAGATCCCGAACCTCGTCATCTCTCTAGCTAGCTACACTCCTAGGGACCTTCTTCCTTTAAATTACCTTTCTTCTTTGATCTCTAATATTTGTTTTCTTCCATTTTTGCACCAGTCACATAATAGAAATGTCATCCCCACACCCCCTCGCTTGCCATAAATTCTCCAGAATTCTCCCTGCACCATTCACACATATTTATTTATTCTCTCTCTCTCAAACACACACACACATACTTCCTTTTTTGTTAACTTTGTCCCTCATCACGGAGCTTAAGGATAGAAAATGCTGCAGAGGTCCGAATAACGCCGGTCCTCCTTCCCCATCTTTTCTCTCCTTCCTCAAAGCCCACCCCCTGACCCCCCGCGCGGCTGCACTAGCTCCGATCCTTTTCCCGGACTCGTTATCTGCCCGGTTTAGCAGAGGCGCGGAGTCGAAGCGTGGCAGGCGCTGGACCTATTAGGATGTTAGTCCCGCCGCTATAATTATCTGTCTGCCTTTGTCTCGCAGGGACGTTAGCGGACAAGGCGCACAAAACAGGTGACAGAATGGGTGCCAGTCCTCCCCCCCCACCACCACCGCCGCTCTATTATAATAAACTAAAAACGTATGCTCTCAATATATATGCAAATGACGACAGGTCCCAAGGTGAGCTTGGCAAAGCGGAGTGGCGCAGTTATGTTTCGCTCATTTGCGGAATGCGGGATTCACAAAGACCGGGGGAAATTGAAAACTTGTTCCGAGCATTAAAAAAACGCAATCATTTCCATAAAGCGGCGTAATCCCAAGAAAATTGATCCCTGCACCGGCGCGCACACCGGACACGAAAACAAACGCGTCCCCCCCCCGTTCCCTCTCCCCCCGCTGCACATGCGCTCCTCTCCGCTCCCACTTGCAGTCTCACCTTCGCGGTTCCCTTTTGTTCAATTAATAGCGCTTTCTCGCCGCTCCGAAAACCACCACCCCCGGACGCCAGCAGAGCCGGCATCAATCCCCCCCAGCCCGAGGCGGATGCACGCAGAGAGCGCGGAGCCGCTAAACTGTCCACGGGCTTGTCAGGCGCGGCATGCGGGCGACCCATACACTTATCCCCCATCTCTTTTTTTTCAATTAACGCAGAAAACTTCAACTTCCTTTTAATATTGACGCAGATCAGCTGTGACAACGCGCTGTCCAAAACGCTTACCCATTTCTGAAGTTTCTGACGTGGGACGCGATTAATTCAATTAACCCAATTAATCGCAATAAGATTATTACAATCGCCATTCAGACGTACCTTTAGCAAGGTGTTACGACCGTGACGATTAGCATCTAATTAGCATATTGAAGAGGAGTGCTCTGGTGCGGGGGGGCTGCGAGGGTCTGCAGAGCTCGCTGCGTGCCTATCACATTAAAATGGAAATGTAGGTTATGTCAATTTCCTTCACATTTCCCTTTGGGCAGAGGTTGCAAGCGATATGCATCTTTGAACATATATTAGGCTAATTGGATGTGCCTTATTAGGCAATGTTTACGGACGCTACAGACTCTCCCTCGAGCAGCAGACCTGATTCGTCTGGAGGCAGGTCCTTTGCTCGTTTTGAATGATTTTTTTGTCCTCGTTTACGGTCTGGTCCCTGTGGTCGTCGCATGGCTGTCTCTGTGTTTAGTTCGAGTTTAGCAGCTCCCTCCCCCGCCATGGAGAGGGGCTGCTGGCATGCTTTATGGCCGGCACACGCAGGGCACGTCCGACAGCGTAGCCCAGGAGCGTGCCATATTTATTGGGTGATTATTATGGCCTGGGGGCTGGCTGAAGCTACCCCACTGCAACAGAACAGAGTCACTCACACTCACTGAACTGATTTACATTTACTGCCCCCCCCCCCCCATGTTTTTTTGGCTCTGTTGATTTACAGGCAACCAAGGGAGAGAGGACACAGAAAGATTTGTGTGACTGGGAGGGGGCAGGAGTTTGTCGTGTCTTTACGTTAAAAGCCACTGAGTTTACTCTGGTTAGTCATGTGGGGTGCGCTTTCTTTTCCAAACGGCTGAATTCGTTCATAAAACAAACAAAACGCCTATGTTTTATGTGTCGGCACTATGCTGCCACTTCACAGGCTGCGTGAAAATAGATTCCTGGAAAGTGAGTCATAAATACAGCTGAAGACTCAGAGTGCTTTCTCTGTCCCGGGTCACGGAACTTTCCGGGCCGTCTGATGTATCCGTTTATTACTAGTACGTGATACTCAAAACTGCTGCTACCCTGATCAGGATGCATGGATGGATGGACCTGACCAGGCGAGTTTAATAGATGGACTCCGAGGGTGGTGTTTTCACCATTTGGCCCTTGGGCGAGGCCCTTAACCCCCCCCGTCGCTCTACCCCTGCCTTCTTGATTGTATGTTACTTTGGGTAAAAGTGCCAACTGAATAAATGCTCCCTTATTACCAGAGCAATGTTTGACAAGCACTTAAAAAAAAACAAAGATTCTGAAAGTTACCTTTGTTGTCCATCTGGGTAAAATCTGCAAGCATATTGTCTGTGTAGGTTAGGAACGTGTCTGAGTGAATGTGCACCACGACACCCAACCCCCCCCCTGCACGCTCTTCCCCAGCCGGGCACCTCCCTCAGCTGGCACGTCCCCCACTAACTGCTGCCGCAGCCATCGCTGAGCTAGCAGGCGAAAGGCAGGCATGTCCGTTCATTTCCATGCAGCTGTCTCCACGCAAGGTGTTGAGAGACAGATTTTTTTCCCTCTTTTTTTTGAGAGAATAAAAAAAAAGGTTTGAAGAAAAAGAGGCTCAGCTATCGTTTTTGGGCAGACCGGGCCTGGAACATGTTATTAGCATAAATTATCTCACCCCCCAGCTGAAAAGAACATATTAGCTTCTTTCTGCCATCTCGCTCACTCGCCCCGCGTATGGTACGCTCGCCCGGGGTAACAAAAGAGGCCCTGACCACAGTGTCCGGCATTAACTCACAGACACCCCCCTCCCCCCACCCCTCCCAAAGTCGTGGAAGGGTGTCTTCATTAAAGGGCTGCGGAGTGTCGCTCCCAGAAGCAGGGAAGGCCCCAGCGCTCTCCGCGCCAGGCCTCTCGTCCAAAACAATGCAGATTGGTGACTCAGCCTCCCTTGCAGTCTGTCCACCATATTGTCAGCCTTAATCCTAAGCGGCAGACTCCCTGGAAAAGCATCCAGGATCTGGAGCCCTGGAAAAAAAAGCCCTTCTGCCAAAAACAATTAATATGAACTTCTTCATGAACATAATATTCACATACACCTCAAATTTATATAAACTATTTACAAAGTGGTTTACTGTCGCTGTGCCATATTGATACAATGAAAACAATGGAGATAATGGCATAGGATGTGAGAGGATTTTAAAATATATTCCTTATTTGTAATTAAAATGTTAGCAGTTTTTCTTCTCTTTTTTTACATGTTCTCACCGGTAAGACCCTGCCCCTTCTAGAATGTTCTTTCACTGTGTCATATAGGGGCCACGATGTCTGTGGCATGTGGCCCGGCGCTCCCAACTGCGCTGTTCTGTCGCACAGTCGAGAGCAGGCCCGTGATCTGGCCTCGAGGTGATCTCATGTGCACGGAAAGATAATCCTTTAACAACTATACTCTAATGACTCTGCTCAGGAAGCCAGATTAAGAGGGAGCACTATGATTAAATAATAATTTAGGAATGTCTCCTTGTTTAAGCTCATTTGAGTATGACGCACACAGTAGGTATTTGCCGGATTCCTTTTTGCACTTTTTAAACATCACTTATCTCGCGAGTATCTTTTCAACTTACTTTTGCTTCTTAAACAGTCTGACGCGGTATAGATATCGCTATTTGACACGGTCGTCGGAGATTCTGGATGGTTCCACATTGTTTCAGTGGTTTCCAGTTTACAGTCTTTTATCATAATTGTTGCCATGGGACAGAAACGGTTATGAGATATTAAAAACAAATATCGCAGGTGGAGCAGGTGCTGAAACAGTATATAAATGACCTTTATATTTATAAGAAATTATTGCATTAGTCCTGTACAGGTGGCAGACAGAATAAAGCCACAATGTCTCCAGGAATAAGGGCAATTATAGGATTTTTTTAAGGTGGGGGGCATAAGGGAGGCCATAATAAGCGATAGATGCTGGATGCCTATTTTTTTTCATATAGAGGGGCCAAGTTTATCATTAGCCAATGATATGTTTTGAATCGGTGAGTGACAGGGGGCCAGCGAGCATTCAGCTGGAGTCAGTGCCCCTGTGGCCCCGCCCCTGTATGTACCGATGTTCACCGATAAACCAGAGGGATGAACAATAAAAGAACATTTTTACTGTAAGCGAACGTTTCACGTGCCATAGCTGCATCCCAGCATCCTGTTCATTCAGCCTGGTTGGGCGTGATTTACCGACCGGTGGGATCAGCGAGCGTGTGACCCTGGACCCGAACGCACCGGACAGCCGGCGGCCTTCAGAGGCAGTCGCATTTGGCCCGCGTTTTGAGAGAAGAGAGATCAGCGCCTTGCCGTAAGAACGCTGCTGCGACTGGGGGGCACTGGGGGAGTCGGATGCGTTTGGAGATGTTTGCCTTCCAGATTTGTGGAGGAAAACAAAGCAGGAGGCTTAGTCACACACCTGTCATTCCGATTCTCTGCTGATTGGGGTGCCGTTTGTTCAAAGGGCTGCCCCCCCTCAAGTATGATCTGCCCCCCCTCAAGTATGATCTGAGATTCAGAGCCTAATTGTGCCAGTGCAGTGACCAGGAGGGAGATAATGTTTATAGGATTTTTTAAGGTGGAGAGGAATAAGAGAGTTTATCATTTAGAGGGGCCGACCTTATCATTAGTCACTAGGATTTGAATGGGTGAGTGATGGTGAGGGGGCACTTCAGGAGCCAATCAGCTTTCACCTATGTGCAGTGGCCCAGTGGCCTCGCCTCTGCACGCAGCCCTGATCCTGAATGGTCTTCATGGGGTAACTTCATACCCCTTGAGGCTTCCTGGTCATATATCCCATAATTTCTTACATGAATCCACCATCTCACTGCTGTTCAACAGAAATCCGACTCATTGGCGATTTGGGTTTTGGCTCTTGGCCTGTTTTTTACGTCCTTCCAGATGTTTCTCCTTGGACGTTCTCCGCTGGGTCTACCCCAGGAGATGTTTCTGCTGCGGCTTCCAGGCAAGGAAGGTCAGGTTCAGAGCACGGTCAACATGGGGTTCAGAGCACGGTCACTGAGCAAAGCCTGGCTGGGAGAGAGTGACGACCCGTGATCATTTTAAGGTCATCGAGCTGGACCTGCCAGCCGTTCTGTACACGACCTCGCTGCTCCGCTAGGCCCGCGGAAACCGGCCAAAGCGAGGCAGTCACACTCCCTCGAAGAGAGCAGGCAAAGTGCTGATCGTTTACAAACCGGGTTGGGCGGATCATGAATGTGAAATGTCATACTGTACATTTTCAGATCAGAATGAGTGAATAAATGGAACATCGGCAAGAAAGAGGAAAATGGTTGAATATACTCTGTCCCTAGCAACACAACGGCGACCCAAGTGCTCTTATGCTGAAGTATCCCTCGTTTCCGTGGAGAGGAATCGCAGGAGAGAGGGCCGGCATGGCCTCTACAATCACACACAGTGGGGGGGCGGGGAGCACTAGGAGGAGAAAGAAGCTCTAATGAGGAAGCAATTTCAATTCAGCCCAACCTTCAGAAATCCACAAGTTTTTCCTTTTTTCTTTTTTTTCAATTCAATATTAGCCAGTCACTGCTGGAAGGCGTGAGGAACGAATCAATTCCACCGCAAGAAAAACGCAAAAGGTTCATCATTAGTTCTTCACCGGCGTCAACTGCTGGTCCTCTAAGTTGACAGAACCTCAAGAGGTGTGTGGTGGGGGGGGGGCACCTCTGCCCTATTTAGAACACTGCAGGGTCCGCCGGCAGGTAAGGGTGCAAACGTCGAGGTTTCCCGGCACAGCATGATGACACCGTGCGGGGGCGGGGGTGCAGGTACTTGTTCATATTTTATTTCGCTCAGATGCTGAGAGGAACATCATGCTGAAAAAGAAACAGTTTTGGAAGCCAATGGTGCGAATGGAGA